TGACAGGAAAACAAATATGTTTTCCTGGCACTGGAGAAACCCTTTAATTTCATGTATTAGAGCAGGAAAACTGGGCAAGCGAAAAGATCTGAGTGACTTTGACAAGGACCAAATACTGATGGCTAGACGTCTGGGTCAGAGCATCTCCTAAAAGGCAAGTCTTATGGGGTGTTCCTTGTATGCAATTAGCACTAACCAAAAGTGGTGCAAGGAGGGACAACTGGTGAACTGGCATCAGGGTCATGGGTGCCCAAGGCTCATTAATGATCGTGGGGAGCAAAGACTAGCCCATCTGGTCTGATTACACAGAAGAGCTACTATAGTACACATTCCTGAAAAACTTAATGCTGGCCATGATAGTAAGGTGTCAAAACACAGAGTGCATCACGGTTTGGCATGACCAGAATGTCCATGCCATGCCCATAATGACCCCTGTCCATCACCAAAAGTGCCTCCAGTGAGAATGTGAGCATCAGAACTGGACTATGGAGCAATAGAAGGTTGCCTGGTCTGATCAATCATGTATTCTTTTAGATCAGTTGGATGACCGGGTGCATGTGCATTGTTTACCTAGGGAAGAGATGTCAACAGTATGCACAATTAAGAAGAAGGCAAGGCAGTGTTATGCTCTAGGCAATGCTCTGCTGGCAAACCTTGGGTCCTGGTATTCATCTGAATGTTAACTGACATGTACCACCTATCTAGAGATTGTTGTAGACCACGGCAGTGGTGTTCACTGGTGGCAGGGGCCTTTCAACAGGAAAATGCAGCCTGTCACACTGAGAACATTGTTCAGGATGGTTTGAGGAACATGACAAAGAGCACAAGGTGTTTCCCTAGCTTCCAAATTCCCCTGATGTCAATATAATTAAACATCTGTGGAATGTGCTGAAACAACAATTCCGATCCATGGAGGCCCCACCTCACAACTTCCAAGACTTAAAGGATCTGCTGCCGATGTCTTGCTGCCAGATACCATAGGACATGTTTAGAAGTCTTGGGGAATCCATAGAAAAAATGAACCCTTGATTTCTCCTGATTTTGCAAACCTTTGTTTCCTTTATTTTCTATCATTGATACTTATCTATGTGACGTTTTGAAAAAGGAACGTGCCTGAATCAAAATTACTATTGCTACATCACTACTGCTTACATGAAGGCACATTAATTGAGCATCAATGTTTGTAAACCAAATCATATTTGCTTCATTTTCTGGAATTATTTGTGTATACTCTTACTTCTTAAATAAAAATTGGCAAAAAAAAAAACATAAATAAAAGAAAGGACATCTATCCTTATCACTAAAAAGGGGTAACAATACATATTTTAAAGTACAGGTACAGTTGAAACATTTAAATGGCACTAACAGATATTTTTTAGTATTGCCCTTCCCTATCTCTTTTTTGACATTGACTGTATAAAAATGTATATTTTATTGGTTAGGTGGCCAATTATTTAATTCTACAATTAGTACTATAATCAATTCATCAGTTTTAATTTAAGGACATAAGAGCAAAGCATGAGCGATGAAAGAGTTGTGAGTGGGGTGTTCATGAGTAGATGTACTGCAACAAGTACTCCCATAAAAGCCCACATTAAAGGACCACTAAAGGCACCCAGACCACTTCAGCTCAATGAAGTGGTCTGGGTACCAGGTCCCTCTAGTTTTAACCCTGCAGCTGAAAACATAGCAGTTTTAGAGAAACTGCTATGTTTCACTGAGGGTTAATCCAGCCTCTAGTGGCTGTCTCACTGATAGCCGCTAGAGGCTCTCTGCGATTCTCACTGTAAAAATCACAGTGAGAAGATGCTGGACGTGCATAGGAAAGCATTAAGTAATGCTTTCCTACGGTCATTTTGAATGCATGTGTGGCTCTTGCAGCGTATGCGCATTGGGATCTGACGTCGGCAGAGAGAGGAGAGTTCCCCAGCACAGAGGGAGCCCGGCGCTGGAGAAAGATAAGTGGCTGAAGGGGTTTTAACCTATTCGGCCCAGCGGACCCTGAGGGTGGGAGGGACCTAATGACCCTATAGTGCCAGGAAAACGAGTTTGTTTTCCTGGCACTATAGTGGTCCTTTAAGTACTGTAGAACTGATAAATGTTAATTAATCAAAATGAAGAACTGCAAGTGAAAAGTAGCAATGAGGATTTTTCTAATAAACCCCGCAAAGTGGGCTGCAGAAAAAAATAAATCTTGTTCTACATTTTATTTCAACTTCAGAATGCCTTTAAAACAAAGTCAATCAGTACAATAATTTAAAAAAAATTATAATTTTCTTATAATTAGAGATGGTAAACTAAAGATGCAACGTGTGAAACATTAAACATTCCAAAATGCATTGAGATACAAAAAAAGATATTCTGGATATAATATATCATAACGGATTAACTATGTCCTCTGAGCGTTTAAAGCAGATAGGTTATAGACTGGTTAAATAAGCCAACGGGTTCTTAATGACCCTTAAAGTCCATGTACAGTGCTTTCACCTATGCCAGGAAACACCAGTATTTTTACAGCAGCGGCAGAACAAATATTTCCTCTAAAATGCATTAACACATAGAAAATTTACCAGATGCACTCTTGCACGGCTGTGTATTGATTTTATGATTTGTCTGGACTAATAGCAAGTCTGAAACACTACATCTGCTCTCCAAACTTTCCTTTTTCGGCTCTGCAAGAGGTAAAACATTTTTATAGTCAATTTTTTTTTTCTTGCATCTCTGTTCTGCTGAACTTTTGCTTGTAATCTGCTTTAAAAAGGCTTAGATTCTGTTGATAATAAATGTCTTTTCCAGATAGAAAGGTAAAAAAAGTTTTCAAAAATGCTGTTATGAATATTGAGTAATTGCTGTCAATTGCATATGACATCTATGGCATTTTGTAATGAGGTCCTGCTATTAAAAATAGTGTATATTTGTATTATATTGATGCTGCTTCAATTTATTGCACCTGTCTAAACAATTCACACTGTCCTCAAATCCTACGCTCTGCAATTTGCTCTGAATTACCGTTCTCAGTCTGGACCCTTATGTCGATATGAATGACATCATCTCAAGAGATTTATAAGATTGTTCTCCTTGGATTTTAAGTAACCCCTCCTGTTATTCTGAATGTCTGGATTTTGATTAGAAACAGTGAGATCTGACTTAAACAAGAATTTTATCCAGATGTAGCTTTGTGCTGTTTTATATAGATCTTTTTACTAGTAGAAAAAAGTCCAGTTAGTATGTAGAGTAATTCCACATAAAATACTTTATTAGGGGTAAAAAAAAAAGGAACCATATACCTGAAACACCTTTTTGCCACATGGAGCAAAAATGCATTTAAAAAGTAAAATATAAGGCTAATGGTAGTATATTTTGCAGTACAACAATGGGAGGAGAAGCTGTAAGAAATCTGCATTTATTTATTATATATTTGTTAAATATATAATATAGAAATATTTAGCTTTCTTCCCTTTCTTCCCACTATAAGTCACTTCTCACGTGATCTGTGAATAAAATCAACATCTAGCCTAGTGGTCTAGTCTAGCCATTAATGATTTTTCGAAAATTTGGCTGAATAGCCGATCACCATAAATTCAGATGAATTGCAATTCTACCAAAACAAATGCCCAAGTCTTTAAACAATCATCATGTTTGTTACCCAAAATATTGCAACAAACCCAGTTTTATAGGCATAGGAACCTTTATAGGTTTCCAAACATGTTGCTGCCCTAGCAGGCATCATTTTCTGCATCCGGGATGGTGGAACCATCATTTTTAGGGATCCACATACTAGCAACCTGCTTTTAATTGCTTTAGAGCCCTCGGGTCGGGTCTATTTTTCTATCCCTCAGCCATCCCCTCAATAATTTCTGAATTTGTGCCAACCAAGTAACAGCACTTGGTGGCACCATCTTGGTCTTAACAAAAGATGTAATACGTTTATTTTCATTATATTGTAATGCTTATTTTTGCATTAAACTGTCCATGTGCAATTTTATACATTGTTTTTATTATGTACTATTTGCAATTTGTTTATTTTAAAGATACACGCCTTTAAATGAATAATTGCATTACTGATCAAATGACCTATGATGTCATGTGTCAGTTAGATTCAAATTTGTACCCTACAAATACTGTGAAGTCCTTTTGGTATGTAACGCTTTTGAATAAGCTCATGGATAGGCAAAACGCGTTCAGTGTATTCTACTATACTGTATTGTTTTTATAGTTTTAGAAACTAGTTCATCTAATAAAGTATTTACTATTTTAACTTGATTGGATCTTCTGCGGAGCCTGGGATCACGTATTCCTTTGGTATGGAAAAAAAAACATCTGAGCTCTGTAGAGTGAGCAAAACCGTAGTTTGCTCCATATTTGTGAGTACCTCTCCTAATTTTTTAATCAAATATATAATTGTACCAGTGAGAACTATACATTTTTATTTTTGTATTTTATATATATTACACACTTACTAATAAACTGGTGAGCCCACAAACTGGGGTGGATAAGATCTTGATATATAGTATCCAGTTGAAGGCGTTCTGCACTACAGCACTTTGAGAAAGGAAGACACCACATATCCGTAGCTGAGGACCACCCAAGCACATCAATCCTAGCTCTATAAATTCTAAGTGCAATAACATGTTTTACATCTTCACCTAAAACAGGATATACTACACTATATTTTACAGTATTCTTTTCTGTCTTCACATATCTTATTACCTCAGCAAGCACCTCTATCTCAAGAAATACATTTAAGGCACTACCCTCTCTTCTTAACCATCTAAGCCCAGTTTTTGACCTGACCCTTTGATTGCAAAAAACACAACTCACCATGTTTCCTTTGTTGGCCAAAGACAATTCAAGATAAATAATAGCTGTCAGTAACTAGGTGCCATCAGGTTTTGTACGAGAACAACGTATTGGTGGATCCTATTGTTAATGGGACACAGCAGGTTGATCAAACCTGTATTAAACTAATATATGAAGAATCAATTCATTAAAACTCAAATGAGTAAAAAGTACTCACTTCCAAAGTTCCTGCATTGCTACAAATCCTCATGCTGTTTAGCAATGAGCTCATTTAAATTAGGAAGTTACTTACACAAACACGCCAACTTCACTTTCTATGAGTCTGCCGAATGTGCCCAAAAAGTAGTGATTTCTGGGCACAGCAAGGAGGATTGTGAATTGTGGTTCACTGTTCAACTTTCTAGTAGCGGAAGAACTGGATGAACTATAGCCACAACAAAGTTATGCATTATGTACAAAAGTATTTTAATAGCAAAAAAAGAAATGCAGTTGGTAGGTAGGAGCAGAGAAAATGGGGCCATGGAGCAAAATGTAGTATTGAAAAAAAAAACTAAACAGAAACTGAAGAGAATTCATTAAGAAAAGCACAGCTACCTGTTACTTGTTCTACATATCTGTGGGTGCCTCTCGAACCCCTCAAACCCCTTCTGGATGAGTTTATTAAAACTAACACAGTACCCAATATTATAAAGTAGCACTGGCAAAGTTATTAACCACAGTGAGAATGTAAAGTGAATTTCAAACTTAAGTTCAAAGTAGCCAAACTGACAGCATAGCCGATTTAGATAATTTTTCCAGCTTGGGTGTTATTTTTGATCTTAAGTTTGAAATTAAGATTCTCTTTGAATTCATTTTGAATGCTCAATTTAGTAAATAACTCAGTGGATGTTTTCACAATCTCTAATATAAGATCACTATATTATTTATCTTTCCTGGTAAAAAAAATTTCAATGTTAAAATGAGCCACTTTTAGTTATCTGGTCTAACAATAGACCACATTGTTTTTTTTTATTTTTACTATAAATCATTATTTTTTTTTCTTTCTTTCAAGGGTTTATATTTAATATTCTAAGAAAACCTGTCAAAGTGCACATAGGAACCTAGCGACATCCTTCATAACAACCAACATTTAAAAGGAAAAATGTGAGCTGATTTACCCATAATCCGTTTGTAATTGGAGACCCCGTGGAATAAATTCATGAAAAATTCATCATCTAAAGACACATATCTGATGATGGGCAAACAGAAATATTCATCTCAACAAAGCCTAATTTTAATGAAAAATAACTAAGTTGTTTATAAGAATATGTATATATTCCTTGTTATTTTCAGATGGGGGAAAAATGGCTCCATTATTATATGAAAAAAAATAATTCACATGGCTTAACATTTAATCCACTATAATTGGCAAAATCAAGCTGAATACAGATTAGCATGAGGGATTTACAAAAGAATACAAAGTACAAATTACATTTTATAATGTAAATATATATTACTTCAATTACTTGAAGGTCACAACACTCTCAGTGTCATATTACCTTTTAGAAGTTGTCCTGACCTTCAGCTCCATATAATGCAGAAAGGAGAAGCATGGACCATTTTTAAACTATGTTACTATGCATCATATTTGTCTTTGATTTTCCATGCATATGTGCAGACGCAAACCGTCATTTTGTGTGCCACCCTATTTGTTCTAGACTTATGTCTTTTAGGCATATTTTTGCACTTGCACCTTACCTGCAATGTGTTCTGACTTGTGTTTTTCTCCTGATGATTCCTGGCTCTTTTATCAACAATGGTGGTGACGTGTCTCCTACTCAAGAACGTGTGCTATCTTTAGTGATGGTGTCTTGTCTCTTTCCAGGGAAACCTGTATTGTTTACACGAGTTAAGCTTTTAAAGTATGTAGAACCTACCAAGGTCTGACAAACTAACAGGGATCCTTCAAAGTTAAATAAGTCCAAGGCCTCAATGTACATTTTCTTTAATATTACAAAACATATTTTAATATGTTGCTATTTTTTAAATTTTGATTTTTTTATATATGTAATATATTTTTTATATATATTTTAAAAATACTTTTCAGTGTTTTTGTCGAAAAATATTAAATCATTTGAAAAGCTTTTTCAAAAATAATAAATAAGGGCCTTATACTTGCTTAACTTTGATGTTAATTTCCCTGACCTTGGTAGGTTCTACATACTTTACAAGTTTAATACTTGGTTTGGTCTGTCTTCAAGATAATGATCCAAAAGTCTTTTAACCTCTTAAAGCTGGAGTCTCGTCCACCAGAGAGAATGGATGGTAAGAAAAAACATAACACAAGGATTAATTTCATCATGTTGGAATTTACAATTTAGTGGACATATGGATAGACAATCTTTGGCCTACAAACTCAATACACATAGGTCTACAAACTCATCACATATCATAGAAGAACAGAAAAGGTAAGAAAAATTAAATAATTTAGTCATCTGTTCAGAAGAAATAAAATAGACATTACTCTTGATTTAAACTTCTTCTAAGGATTAATGATTCCTTTTTTTTGTATCTTCAGGCAAAGTAAACAAAGTGACATGATCATGGCAGCCGAGAGACAGCCTGGAAGCCTACGGTCTAAATGTAAGAGGTTTTGATCTTACTAAATGGCACCTGAACCACAAAATTGCTCTCTTTTTCTCCCTTATTGCTTTATTTCTGTGCGTAAGACCACATTTGCTCAGAGGCCATGCATTTGTCATCACCAGGGAAAACACAAAAGCCGGACTGGGCAAATCATGTTAGTGGCTAGGGGAAAAGTGAAACAGAGACTCTAAACCAATTCTGTAAGATTGAAAGCAGTTTGCTAACTCACTTATCCATCAGCACTGACCTTTAAAATATTCTGATTCCAGTATCCTTTTGTCATTGTTTTTAAAATGTCGTTCTGAGAAGTCAGCTGACTTTGAGGGAATACAAATGCATGCATTGTATAAAGTAGATGTGAATGTGTTTTTTATAATATAGACTTATTGGTGTCATTGACTTTCAGTAAATGTAGTCAATACAAAACCAAATTAAAAGCCTTTATCTAGAAATGATTGCTAATAATAAGCCACTTATAGCTGTATTCTTTAACTTTGATTTTGTAGAATTATGGAAAGTAACCTGCTCATGTTTGACTTACTGATAAATTAAATTGGACAAGAACATTCCATCTACAGTATGTATTATATGCTTCTAATTTTGTTTGTATAGCAATACCTCCTTATCCATATATATCTATTAGCTCTATATTAAAAATATACATACACTATAAAACTGCTGTATATCTACTGCACTTACTGTATTGACCTCTACTGTAACGCACCCTGTAAAGTACTACGTACAGCTTTTAGCATTGTATCAAAAAATAAACACTGTATATTACGTAGTTACATAGTTACATAGCTAAAAAGAGATTTGCATCCATCATGTTCAGCCTTCCTCACATATGTTTTTGCTGTTGATCCAAAAGAAGGCAAAAAAAAACTAGTTTTAAGCGCTTCTAATTTTGCAATAAACTAGAAAGAAAATCCTTCTTGACCCCAAAATAGCAGTCAGATATCTCCTTGGATCAAGCAGCTAATACCCCACTAATTAGAAATTATATCGCTGTATATTTTGCAAGTATTTATCCAATTGCTGTTTAAACAAATGTATGGAATCTGATAAAACTACCTCTTCAGGCAGAGCATTCCACATCCTTATTGCTCTTACTGTAAAAAAAAAACCTTTTATTTGCCTTAGATTAAATCTCCTTTCTTCCAGCCTAAATTTGTGACCCCGTGTCCTATGTATAGCCCCCCTGTTTATGAATAGATTCCAAGATAATAGTTTGTACTGGCCCCTGTATTGATACTGATATACCTAGCACTCTTTAGTACAATGTAACCTGCAAATTCTACATTATACCTGTTGGTACTATATACATATAATCTAAATATACAATGCATTCAGTGTGTATAATAGTTGTGCGTAAAGAGTTGCAAAAAACTTGATAGCAAGACCTGATGACAAGTAAACTCCACATTAAAGACAATGACAATAACATTATGGTCTCAATGTAATATTTTTTAAATAAACCTTTCAAATGATATAGCATTAAAAAAAAAAGTTTTAAGTTATTTTTTTCTAAACATTAAAAAGTCATACATATATCACATATAACGAATATATCGATATATAAAAAAAATTAACATTTTACAAACTTAACATATGTTCATAACATCAAATAATCTTAAAAGTTTATCCAAAAGCATTAAATAATTTGACAAGCTTAGCCAAGAATATTACATGGAGACCTATATGAGCTAGGTACATGTGGTTGGGGTCTCCCAACTGAAAACAGAATTATTACTTTTATTCCATAACATGTTTCCTAAAGCTTAGACGTTCAGAGCTTTTATGTGAGATTTAGAAGGGGATCACTGACGAGAGACATATCTTCCTCAGGGAAAACAAACATCGGGGGTGAATTCCTTAATATTCTCTCATATAGTCTTTGTAGCCCACCAAAGTGAAAAACTGACCCGGTGAACTGCTAAAACAGAAGACTGGCTTGACATATACAATAATACCATGCATTATTACATGCTATGTATTGGTGAACGAGACCTGTTATGACCCCGGTAGTAAGAAAGTATCCACTTCTCACCAGAATGCTCAACATGTCTCAGGGTTTCATTGTACCAAACTGAAGGGATGTACTATTAAACTTATTTTAAAGGCATTTTATCTTATAAGCTTACTTGATCTCATGACTCCCCTCATTACCATTTAGTTTTTTGTGTTAACACCATTTTTATTTCTGCATACTAGATAATTATGAATATACAAAAAATATCATAAAAATTAGATTTTTTAAAAATACACAAGACCAATCTTTGTGAATATTTAAATGTGGCAAGGATATAACACATTTCTTACTAATCTTTAGTGATGTCCCGAACGGTACGCCGAACGGTTCACCGAACGGTTCGCCACGGATGGCGAACATATGCGCTGTTCGGTCCGCCCCCTATGTCATCATTGAGTAAACTTTGACCCTGTACCTCACAGTCAGCAGACCCATTCCAGCCAATCAGCAGCAGACCCTCCCACCTCCTGGACAGCATCTATTTTACATTCATTGTGAAGCTGCATTCTTAGTGAGCTGTCCAGGAAGTGGGAGGGTCTGGGAGGGAGGGTCTGCTGCTGATTGGCTGGAATGTGTCTGCTGACTGTGAGGTACAGGGTCAAAGTTTACTCAATGATGATATAAGGGGCGGACCGAACAGCGCATATGTTCGCCATCCGTGGCGAACCCTTCGGCTAACCGTTCGGGACATCACTACTAATCTTCATATTTTTTTGCCATTTTTACATGGAGTTCTTGTGCACACGAAAGTTCTGTGACAACATAAATG